TTAGATCATCAATATCAACAATTATACAAACGAGTAATAATCCGCAAAGTAATAATAAAGTAAGTTGGTCTATTGCTTGGTTAGTTACATGTCATCACGATTTTTCTGCTTTTATAGGGGTTCCAAAATAAACTGGACATATTACTCTTCTGGCATTTTGATCTTCGCTGAGAAAATCACTGACCATCATCATGCGTACAATAGACGCAGTATCATAAAAATAATTTTCTGTGACGGGATATTATCCACATACACTATCAGCGCAGTAAAATTTTCTATAAGCATCTTCATGTGCCGAATCCTTGATATTTGGCATAGTATTATTCAAGTGATAAAAAAAAATAAGCAATAAATTTCTTGTATATGAGACGGAGTGGATGTTGTAAAAATTAATCTTAGTGATTAATATTGCATTGCTTACCAGTTGCTAATTTCCAGATTTATGTATAATTTCAAAATTACTTAATCTCAGAGAAGTGCTCTTGCGGAACTTAATAATTTATATGATTTTATGTGTGTAGAAGTGATATTGATAGATGTAGATATATGTGGGATGATTTATTTTGGAATTTAGTGTAGAAAAAAGAGTATTGATGTGTAATTAGCAGTAGTAATAGTAATAAAACAAATAGTATAAAAATTTACAAGCCTGAGAGAGCAAAAAAATAACATGATGCTGAGACTCACATTAAGTAGTCTAGGATCCGTGTACTCTCACCCTCTTTGATATCATCATACATTTTCATCTGAAAAATCATTAATAAAATTTCATTCAATTCAGACATTTGCATCAAAGTTTTTTTTTTGTAAATATTGTGTGAGTTTCGTGATCTTAAAATCTTAACTTCTCACAACATTCTCGAAGTCAAAAAGATTAATACTCTTTTTATTGATTTGGAAATATAGAATATTTGGCTTACTAGTTTTTAATAAATGACATCATAATGGCAGACAAAACTTGTGTATAATTTGATCTAGGGAATTGAGAAATAGACCGATTTGACAAAAGAAGCATGGAAAGTCAATTGTATACTGGAAAACAACAAGCAGGGGAGGCCTTAAAACATACTTGTTCAAGGACATTTCTGGAGACTGCCTCCATATATCTAACGCAGGACATAATGGCTATATGCCAGTAGGTATACGCATCCTGGATACTAGCATGCAGGGGGAGGCCTTAAAACATATTTGCTCAAGGACATTTCTGGAAACTAACACCAAACATCCAACGCAGGACATAATAGCTATACGCCAGTAGGGATGACAATAAATCCTGGATACTAGCATGCAGGAAAGGCCTTGAAACATACTTGCTCAAGGACATTTCTGGAGACTAGCATCAAACATCCAACGCAGGACATAATGGCCATACGCCAGTAAGGATTTGCTTGACATGTAGTAAGACAGAAAATTTTCTAAACTGAAATGAATTATTTTACGATTGCAATAGGATATCAAGAATATACTGCGTCTTGAGAAATAGTTGATAATAATATGCGTAAGATTTGTAGCGTGATCAGTTGACGATAAATTCGATTAGATGAATAATTAACCAATAATTTAAATTATTAACAATCATGGGATATATTCCTATTACAGGGGTTCAAATGTCATATAGTAATTAGATGTCAATCACTTTATTTTTATATGGAAAATTTTGCTTTTTACAAAAGTTTCTCCTATGATAACCTTATATTTGTGAAACTGATTATCTATTACTATTTAAGTTAGAAATATAATTGTGATATTTCTTTATTGTATCGTAAAGTTCCAACCTCTATTTTTTTTCAGTTCAAAGAGAATCTTCATTTGAAGTTAGTGTGTACTAACCCTTGTAATAATATACAGTTTTTATTATTTCAGATCTTAAATTTATCATTTATGCCTATATGTTCCTTCACTTATCAATTTCTTTTGAAAAATCACTTCACTTAATTTATTTAACATGGGTTTAGAGAACATTTAGTCAGTTAGATTTCAACTATTTTCTTCAAACCAATATTGAGATGAAAGAAAATGATTTAATCATAAATCTTGATCACCTTTTAAAAACCTTTTTATCAGAGTACACTTTCAGATAAAGGAAAATATTTTTTAACTAGGTGAGTATAGGATGAGGCTTTGGATTTTAAATATTAAGGAATCAGACGAAGCAATTAATGTATTTAACTTCAGATTCATTTTTGCTACTATTTATTAATATCACAAATATATAATTAATCGATTAGTCTGATTAATTATTTCTTCTTTATTATATAGCACTGAATATACTTCAAAAATAATTCAGATTTACATCAAGAACCTAATCTAAATTTTTCAACCCTGACAAACTCTGTTTATGTAGTTCTGATCCAGAATTGATCGAAAGAAGCGTCATATTGAAAACGCATGAATTTTATTAATAATTAATGAGTTAAATATATTCAAGATACTTAGCTGTTAGGGAAATCTGCATAATCAGGAAACTATTTGTGAAAAAACATAGTTAGTAATTGAAAAATTGCAAAAAAACGATGTAAAAGTGATATTATATTAAAATTATGAAATAAAAAATAATTTTCATTCCTTGTTAAAAAATAATTCTCATTAAATATAAAATCCTCAATTCTGTTCTTTGTAATAAAATAAATTTGCTTTTGTTTAAATTAAAAAATGTCGATCTTATTTTGTTGTACAAATTTTGCATGTATGCATATTTTTGCCTTTAAATAAATTACATCTACATATTTACGACAATTAAGTTTCTGCGAAAAATAATAATTTAAAACAAAATGAGTGATTCTGAATTTACTTATATGGATTTTGAGGAATGCAACACTAATGCTTCCAAAGAAAGTAATAAAGAGAATATTGATTAAATTGTTCTTGCAAGTGCTCAAGCCTTATTAAATAATAATGATGAAAATGATGACATGGATTAGAGCAAAGTTGAACCTGAAGATTCTGACTCTTATATCAATTCCTTTCAAACAATATATGATAATATAGATATAGAAATTGAAAGGACCTCCACGCAAGGCATAAATTTAACAGTATGTATAATTATAGATACTATTCAAGGCGAAATAAAATGTTGTAATGGTATAATAAACTAACGCCAATTAGAGCAAATGGTAGGAACATGAGAGATAGATGCAGATGTAGTTAAAGATGTTAAGAGTAATCTTTATCAGCTTGGGGTATGTTATTCTCATTTTCTTTTCGATCAGAATCAACTTCATGATAAAGGCACAAAACAATTATGTTCGATTGAGCAGAACATTATCTATTTTCGCTTCTGCATTTTCTGTAATAAAAAAAATGTTTCTTTAGCTATAGTAACAGTTGCAAAAAGCATTCATAGAGTATTAATGGACGTAATATTAAAGTATCTTATATTGGTGTTTATAACTGTTCTGTATTTACTGAAGGACCTATTGCAAAAAAATCATCTTTAGGTTATTGTGCATGTTATATCTGTTCAGAATGCTTTCAAAATCAGGGTAGACATTTATATGAAAGACCAAATAAAGGCCAAAAGAACATATTGTATACTGAACGTAAAAACATTGTAATGATGCAAGTAACACTTTAAAGTATATTGAAAGATGAATAATATCAGTAGCAGAATCAAATGATAATAAGTTACAAGAAAAACTCCTATCTTTGATAATTCTAGCATTAGCTATTTTTAACAATGGAACCATGGATAAAAGCTTATCAGAAATAGAAGTAGTAAAACTTCCAAGCAAGTTACTTATTAGAACAGCAATGAGAATAGAAAAGTTGAATTAAATAGATTAACGAAAAGGCCTCATATGATATCTTCAGAAAAGGCTTCGATAATGGGAGAAAAATTAGGAAGAGAAATTTTATCTTCATATTCTGAAATTCAGCGAAATATCAGTCAATTAGAAAATCCAAGTTCATATGAAAACTATTTTGAAGCATTGCCTAAAATCATTTGTGGTTTCTTTCAAGTTCTCATCACAGTACTACAACAAAGTAAACAAAATGTTGTTAATGAAAAAAGACTTCAATGTGAACTTCTTCCAAGATTGCTCAATACAAGTCAAATATCAAAAACTACTACTTTACTGACCTCCATATTACTAACCATCACTTTCCCTAGAATGAAAATTTGGCTTTCACACATCATATCATCAATGTGCTAAAAACCAAAATTACTGCCATACTTACAAAAATTCCTTCATTCAGCTTGTGTTATATCTTATACTAAAAGGCATAAAAATCATCTTGAAAAATTTAGAATGCATTATACAGACCCTAGAGAGAATTTAATTAAGGGATCAAATATTTGAAATTTAGCAGTAATTGACAATATTGATTTTAAAGCTTCTATATTCTCATATGGCAATATTTTTGATTTTACATGACAAACTTCACATGCAACATTACGAATGGTATTTTAGTTCACTCTTCCTACTTCTCTTAATGACTTAATTGAAGACTATGAATTTGTTAATCAACCACTGTTCGGGGAGTCTCCAATTACTAATAACCTTTTAATGTATGAAAATATTTTAAATATATTGTTAGAAACTCATGTAAATGAATTTGATATAAAAGATGTACATTCAAAAATCATCAAAAAAGTGCTTATAGGTTGTAATACTTTACCACTACCAAATGTTGTAATATTGGAACCTGGTGATCCACTCAACTGCAATGATAATGTTTATACAGCATGTGAAATGTATCACGATAATTTACCTCATAGTGATGACAATCGTCTATGTATTGCATGTGACCAAGCAATTTTTGAAAGATTAATCTCCTATAAGGAAATTCACAAGGATACTCAACTTCTTTTGAGACAGTGGCACACATCTAAAGATATGTGCAGCACTTTAATTACAATATTTTCAGAATATAGAATATTTAACCTTACGGCAATCTTTGGTGTACGATACTTAGATAAAATTAAATGTGTTATAGATTACTGGACAACATGTTGTGTATTAGAATTGATTTGGATTGCAGACAGAATTGAATTGTGTCAACATATGAAAAACAAAGGAGAAACTATGAATGATATTTTAAAGGGTAATAATCAATTCATAAAGGTATGGTATCTCTTCTTCTGTTAGGCCGGATATTTAATGAGTCATAAAATAGGAATTAGAAGAGGAAATTATAGGATGCAAATGTTAAATTTAATTGCATTCGCACCTCTCTTTTCTGCAGCTGGAAAATTCAAGTATGCAAATTCCATTGCACATTTTTTGGCTCAAGTTCATGATAATTTACAGCTACAGAAATTATTACAAACAATATACTCAGTAAATCTTATAAGTGAAGGACATTATTTGGTTTTTGATGAAGCATTTGAAACATATGGCGTAAAGTTTATAAACAAAATATTACCAGAAATCTTACTGACCAGCCAACCATGATGTCAAATATTAAGGCAGCTCAGAGTGAGAGAGATCATTTATTAATGCTTCTTGCAGAATACACTGATGATATTGTGGTAAATCAGAATACTCATATGATCAAATCACAGAAAGATTCACTCTGGTCCTTAGTCAAAAAGTTATCATCTGCCTTTGATTATTCAAATCCTACAATGTACCATTTGTTTGAAAATGCATCAGAAATTAATGAAAAGGGTATTAAAAATATTCTTTCTTTTTATGAGTCTGGCAAATCACACTTTCAACAAATTCTTATGCAGGATGTATACAAAACTGAATCTTGGGTAACTGTTGAACGTCGTATTCAAGACATAAGTCATTATACTTATACTCAACTTGAAAGTATGAAGAAACAAAAAAAGTAGTAAAGTAGACAAACCTATTCGTCCATTTATTATTTAACTGTATACTTCATCATTATCGCAATAGGTATTACTTTTGATACTAGCCATCCAAGAAAGATACGTCATATTACTACAAATGCAGAAAAAGCTATACTTAACCAATTATTTGAATTTGAAGAAAACCACCTGAAACTGCAATATTAAAAGTATTATCAGAGCTTCAAGCTATCTCTTCAGATTGGACGGCTGAAAGAGTCAAACAGTATGTAAGAAATAACTGTCATAAGGTTCAAAAATAAAGTATAACTGATATCTGCGTATAAATAATAAATAAATTTTATTAATAATATATAAAGATATGTTTAGACTTAATGCATTCGAATTTTCCTTAATTAGAATCCAAAATTCTAATACTATGATATTTTACATATCCTTTGAAGTGTTCTATTATAAAGTTAAATATTTGCATTAGTAATTTATCAAAAATTTAGAATTCAATATAAAATGATTAAAAATAAAACTTTTTATTACAATTAAGATCCCAAATTTCTACCTGATCTCTTTAATTATCTTATTATTCTGATTCTTTGAATTAACTTATCTATTTTAGTAGAGTCTAAAGAAAAAAAAATGGCATAAATAATTTCGAATTGAAAACCTTAACTTATCTTAATTTATCTTATTAAATAATATCTTTAAGCAAATGTCTAGAAGTCACAAGTAAAGAGCCTTTGTATAAATAATATATTTCACAGTGCTTTTTATTTACTGCCTTTTAACCAAAAAAGTTGGTTTAAAACTAAAGTATTTGAAAGAAAATCTTAGAATTTATGTTAAAAAATAGCATTTCTCAAGTCAGATTCTACTTGGTGTAGAATTAAGCAACAAATATATTTTTAGCATAAAATGAAAACACAAAACTCAGACAATAAAACTTGTCTAAGATCAAAATATTATTTACTATAAGTTAATCAAAGCATTTTTATAAGAAAGTCATAGTATTATATGTTACACAAAAATCAATTACTATTAAAATCATCAGAGGGGACATGTCCCGTGACTAATATATATAAAACTTACATTAACTATATTTTTTTCTTTTATTTTTGAAATATTTAACACTTGCCTATGATCAGGCTTAACAATACTCATATAATGAGTATGATAGTTGTTGCCCAACTTCCAAGTAACTAAAGTAAGCATAAGTTCCTTTTGCTTGCACTTTTTGATAGGCTAGCAAAGTCAATTTACAAAATCAAACATTTTCTTTATTACAATTTTGTATAACACACGGTCCTTTATTTTTTCGAACAAAAATGTAAATGAGAAAATGTGTGATTTTTATGTGATAGATCTGAAATTGCTAGCCAATTATATTTTAATGATCATCATAATTATTAACCAATGAAATCAAAATGCCTTATGTTCATTTCGTACTACTCTTTCATTACTTTTTTAATTGTAAAAGCTCATGTCATCTAGCGTTACCAGTGCCATATCTAATCTTCTGAAAGTTAAGCAAGTAAAGTCATGGAGTCGAGAGAATTTTAAAAAGTTTATGCAAGAGAACAGAGCTAGTTTAGATCTTGAAGACGGAGATATTGATAACATATATAATCAGAGGATTGATAGTGCGACTTTTCTTGAGTTAACTCAAGAAGATCTTACGGGGATGAGAACTCTTCTTGAATCAGCAAAAAAAATCGTTAAATTGATCAAAGAAATTCAAGGAGGTAAGTAAACTTCATTCTTGCCCACATTCGCCAATAATACCGAATACTTACTTAATCTTATACTTTTCTTTCCTGCTTCTTATCATCAAACCCGTCTAAAAACACGTTCGCGTTATCATAGAAGGTAAGTATCATGACTGCATTCAAATATACTAAACCTATACTGTTTTTCTTGCTGTGGAGCCAGATCTGTCTTCAATATAGCTTATACCAAAAGTTTTTCTTGTAGCAGGCACTTCAAAATCACCTACCAGTCTTGTGTCCGTTTTTGTGAACAACTCAAACTTATTTATCGAAGAAAAGTTTACTGTAAGTCAATTAGAATCTGCAGGCACCTTTGATCAACAAAGAAATTCTCACTACCTCAACCAGCTCCATATCAACCATGGTCGTCTTCTATCAGCGGTACTGAACGGACGACAAATGGGTAGTAATCTGATTATTATTAGCTCTCGTCTACCACTGAATGATTCACTATAGGATCAGAATGTAAGTCAAGGTTATGATGTAGTCATGTTTGATCAAAATATAGAAAATAAAGAAAAGAAAGTTGATATGGAACTAGGTGCTTCTGCAATGGATGTTATCTGGACTAGGGATCCTGGTATATTTGTTTTAGTTTCTGAAGATGGTGATTATTTTCCTGTAATAAAACAGGCTCTGAATCATAATTGGAAGGTCGAAACATGATTTTGGTGATCAGGTATGAAACACTGCTTTGTTTGTGTTTGTAGTCAAATAAGTTATCTAAGTAAACTCCCACTAATATAGGAGTATCTGGTGATCTCACAGAATGTTTCTCCTCGTTCTATCCTTTGGATAATTACTATAAATACTTTACATATGCATATAGACAAGACCCCGTTGGGAAAAATCATATCCTTGAAATAACAGATGGTGAAATGGTTGGAAATTGGAAGGGTGAAGAAGTAATGGATTGTTTTTTTTTCATTACAATTGTTTTGGTGGTGGTACAGAAAAGAAAGGCAGATTATATACTTGTATTTCGATAACAAATCGAATTTGAAAAAGGTAAAAAATTGGATGGAGTCTAAACATTCTGATATAAAGGTTTGGGAAATGCCAGAAATAAAAAGAAGAAGTTGGGTAGTTGGATAGATTTATGATCTTTACATTCACCAGTATAATACACAATACTAAAAAAATCTGGAATTTTATTCATGTATTTTAAAATCAGCCGAGAATACTTATTCTATATAAATTTTTTATAAATCAAAATTTTACAACTATATTTTTTACGAGACAAGATCTTGATGTAAATAAAGACTCTTGGGTCTATTTTATACTTAATTGGCATTGATGTTATTTTTTATTTTACATGTATTGGGGTTACTGCTGAGCCTTTCAGCCGAAATATTTAGAGCTCAATTTATTCAATACTAATCGTTGTAGGTTTAATCAAGTATGAGTATAAGGGAATAAATTTCCTGATCTTCATTGTTACTGTTCTACAATTAAGTAATGATTGTTTCTCTTTACAGAGCCTATAATTCGAACAATTATAAAATCACCTTATATGATCGCTAAAATTCTGAATTCGATTATTGGACTGTGGTTACTAGCTCAGGTGTTTTAGAAGTCTCAGATGTGCCAGATGTTGAGGCGACTGGAGTACGTGTATCTTCTGCCATATAGTTAAAAAGAAGCTGGGTCGATTCGTCCTGTCTATCCACTTTCTTATCTCTTGAAGAGGGGCTAATGACCAGTAATGAAATCAGATTTAGATTAAAGATAATATAAATAATTTGAAAGAAAGCTTAGTAAAGATACTACATCTCTCTATTAAAAATTACATTCTAAAGTAAATGCTATATCTATTCAGAACTTAACTTGATAAGACCCTTTGGCCAGTCAAATTATTAGTGATCAATCAGAAGTTGTCAAACAATTGCCATCAAATTTAAGAAAGACATTTAAGGTGGGTAGTCATACATCTGTTAGAGGTTCTTTAAGAATAAATATAACTTTTATTTTATATTAAAAACTTGCTTGACAGATGACATCCACTCTTATATTATTAGTTAAAAACATATATAAAGAATTTATAACAAGTTTTGTCAATTACAATATTCAGAATACAATACCAGATAAACTAATTCATGATAATTTCTAGAAAGTATTAGAAGAAAAATCGCAAATGTTATAAAGAAGTTTTAATTCTTCTAGAAGATATTGAACAGCTTTTAATTTCAAACTTGCAAAATTACTAAATGAAGGAATTTATTAATTAACAGTTATTTTATTATTGATTTAAGTAATACTAAAAAACCTCCTTTTAGATTATTCTCATTTATCAGTATTTCAGAATGGCAGAGCATTGCTAGTATAGATAGAAAAGGCGAAAAACAAATAGGAAGATGATCAGATATTATGTATATGATAAAATATTTAAATGTTTTCTTTGAGCTTATATATGTTAAATATTTACAAAAAATTAATTATTTATATGATCTCTACCTTCTATATTACTAATATATTTATGCATGATTTTTTTAAGCCTTTTATTTTAGATATTTTTAATCTGACATGTATATCTTTCATTAATCAGAGTTTGATTTAGAATTCTTTTTTATGCTGTGATTGTATTCTTAGTTCTTATAATTATTGCTTAAGCATTTTAATTATACAAATATATATTTTATCTATCATAGTTTAATCTTACTATTACCATTAAATTAAGTTTGTATGTATAATAATATTGATTATTTTTCTACCAATTTTATCAAATTGCTCTCTTATATTATCTGAAAGATTAAAATTTGAAAACCTATTCAAATAAAAATGAATTCTTACTAAGTAAGCTATAATCTTAAACTTTCTATCTAAAATATCTTGAATTATATTATTCATATCTAATTTATTATTATTTGAAATTTTTTTTATAGTTTTGATTAATTATTTCAAAAATACAGAACTTAAGTTAGATTACCTTTTCTTCTAACTTATTAACTTAATGCTTTTAAGATAATATATGATTCTCTTTTTAATTCACATTCTACAATACTTTTTGAAGATGCTGTTTAAGAATTATAATCTCAGATTTAAGAGATGCTATCTTATTTTCATGAACTAATATTGCTAAAATATTATCTTATAATATGCATTTAACTCTTTAATATAAGCTTTAAACCTTTTATTAAAAATATTATTTTCGACATTAATTCTTTTTATAACTCTTTATTAGTATCAAAGATTTTTATATAAGCTGGATCTATGATTCTTATAATTCTGATAGATTTAAGTAAAGCTAGAATATTAAATGTTTTTATTGCATTATAAAAGATTTATTATCAATCTTCAGATTATAAGAAAACTGTAAAAAAAATTATATAGAGCTTCTCAAAAGGCTAGATATAATTTTAATCTAGATGAAGTGAAGGATTTACCTAAGAGATAAACTATGCATTAGATTTATACTTTAACCTAAATATATTCTGTGTGATAGTTTTAGCTTTATTATTATTCCTAATGAAATTTACTAAGCAGATATATTTTATATGCTGTCATCAGGTTCATTTTCGTTTATCTTAATATCTAAGTTGAAAGGTTGTGGCAGCTGATTCTACACATTGGAGTTTCTGACCTTAGGATTTTCTCTAAGTCCTACAGGTATCCGTTATACTTGAATCAACTCGGCAATTTATCA